GGAGGGCTGCTGGAGGGGACGGCGCGGCTCGCGGCACCCGGGCCGGGAGGCAGAGGCACTTTCCAAAACCTGGGGCTCAGACACCTCCCTCCCCGCCGCTGCTGGTGGGAGAAGGGCCAGAGGGGCTTTTACGAGTTCACGGAGGGGCCACGGGTAGGAGATGGTGTGTGTTGACTTTATCACCCACAGAGTCGGGGGGGGTTCTGGTGCCTGCCACCCATTAAAGAGGAGGGCCGCTAGCCCAGTGCTGAGAGGGTGAGGGAGCCCTGAGGGGGCCCGGCCCATTCAAACTCCTTTAGACCTAGTGCCAAGGCTGGGCCCACGGGACCTCTGGGGTGACATGTGCTGTGTCTCCGGGGATTTAAGTTTATGTTTATAATGACTGTGGGGATGGTCAGCAAGTCCCAAGTTTTTAGGTCTCCGTTTCTGTCATCTAAGAAGAACCCTATGGAATGTTGCCTGTGGAAGACACCCAGAGACCTCTATTTTCCTAGACTCGGGAGAGAAAAGCATTATTTCCCCCCTTTTATCCTTCCTTCCTCCCTGGGGAGGGGAAATACATAAAGACCCACGTGGGTGGCTCTAAATATTTAATAATTGGATAACTGAGGTCTTGAACTACTACAATAGTATCTTTTCAGCATTCTGTGTGTGTTCAATTTCTTCTTCTTCTCTTTTTGGCTCCCCTAGTTCAACATGCAATTAATTGCCTCCACAAAGAGAGACAATGCCTGTTGGTGTCATCCTTTGTCACTGTCACATCATTTCTGGGTGGCACCTCGGGATAAATTGTTGCCTCAGGTGCATTGTGTACCCACGCTGTAAAACATGGCTGTCTAGTGTGAGTGTGTGTGTGTTCCAGCTGTCACCCAGCGTCCTTCTGCAAGGCTGTAGAACACCTTTGAGTCCAAGATCTTTTTATATTAAATGTTGAATCCAGGTGGACACCAATAGGCCCATTCTCAACTTAGGTATTAACCTTCATTTCAGACTCACTAAGAAGTGTATATAATTTCTGCTTACAATCTAGTCATAATCTAACAATCTATTTGAATATTAGCACCATTTGAAGCTATTCTGTGAAAGAAAATAAAAGCCTTTTTTACCAATTGTCTTCAACTTTTCAACTTTCTACAAATAGAAAAACTGACAAGCCAAATCAATGTGGATTAAAATACGTCTCCCCTGGTTTATCCTTCTCTCTCTCTCTCTCTCTCTCTCTCTCTCTCTCTCACACACACACACACACACACACCTTTTATTTTCTCCTGCCTCTGCCACAGTATATAAAGCCCTATTGAGACATGTAGGCGTGATGTGTAAACCGGATTAGCAGTATGAAAGAAAGACACACAATAAGCTGGAATTGTTTTACTTCCCTTTCATTTCTCATGCCTATATCTCTAATAAATTTGTTGCTCCAGCAGTGGGTCAAAGGGATCATGTTGCTCAGCTTCTTTTTCATGCAAGACCCAATGGCAGAGATCACTGAAATGAATAGTGTGCCTTCTGCCAAATGCAAATCTTGATATAGATATATTAGATGGGGAGATAGAGATGAGGCAAGAGAGAGATGGAGAAAGAATTGTCCAAAGTGGGGCTGTTTCCAGAATACATCTCTATCCATTAGAGTAAAGTAATGTGGCTAAGAAGATATTTAGACAAGGGAGGGAGCAATATAAGGCTCTATTGCTATGTTCTCTTTCCAGTTCACTGTAGGCGCTGAACATTTTCTTTGCACTTGGTGACTGACATTCCCAACAAGAGAATACCAGTAGCTTTGGCAATGCATAAAGTCTAATTCCACTTCTCAAGCTAGTGTTGGAACCTGGAGTCATAAATGTGGAGATTTCTAGGGCCTTCTCAGGACATCTCCCCTCTGCCACCGCCCCCAACCCTCAGCTCAAAAAATGCCAGTGCTCCTGGATTTGTGCTGCAGACCCCTCATTTACTCCTTTGTGGAACTGGGAGCAGCTTCCCATTAAAGGAGATCAGGGGTAATTAGCAGCATTATTTTGACAAGTTGGCTAGAGCTATTCCCTTTCCTCCAGTTCTGAGGAGGAGAGAGTAGGAGAGGAAACAGAAGGTGGGAGGGAACAGGGGAGGGTAGTCATACTTAGGGGTTTTATATTTTGTGGCTGCTGAATCTACCCCATCTGCCCCCAAACCTTTTAGACTCATTTCCTACCATCACCTTTTTAGCAAATACAAAAGCTGCCAATGAGAAGATAATAAGGCATTCTTAGGGAGCCAAGAAAATGTGGTGGTTGGTGGCATACTGACTTGAATTGAGTCAAGACTCAGCTCTTAATCAAGGTACCTGCTTTGAACTGCTCAGGCTCTGACCCATCCTGCAGTCTCCATCCATAAACAGAACATTACATCAAACCCCAAATCCCTCCCCCCATCTCACCCTCTCAACACGAATACTATGGGACTTGGTATAATGTTAGCAATCATTGGCATTTGTGCAAAAGAGTATTAAAATTGGTAGACAAAATTACAACATCGCCCAAGGATCAAATTACTAGAACGCATTTATCTCTATTCATGTGTACTCTGCAAAAATGAGTTAAGTTACATTAGATTTCAAAGACCCGTTGGGTTGGATGTGAGCAACCAGTGCAAAGTTAAATCTCACTCTGGTTCCTCATTACCCCACTGAGCCCAGCTCCCACAATGGCTTACCATTGGAATGCCCAAACCCAAAGGGCAGATGCTTAGTTCAGTGTCATCTTTCAGATAATCAGAGGTCATTTTTGAGATGTGTGTGTGGCGTGGCCATGGGTGTTTGGAGTATGGGAGCAGAGAAAGAGGATATGAGTGAATATGTTAAGAGTTGAAGGAATCTGTTTTGAAAACTACAGACTCCAATGAAGACTTGGATGGAGATGGAGAGACCAAAATGACAGTTCATGCACTGAGATGAACTTTACTTGGAAAGGGGAGATAGAACACTAAACTGTGGCTCCAGAGAGAGCCAGCAGGTTGGACAGGTTGAAAAGGCCCAGAGCTGTCACTTATTTGGTAACTCAGGAGGGGAAAAGCCATTACAGGGACTGTCTTCCAGCAGACACCTTTGTAGGCCTGGCTCCTCCA